GGGGGGGGGAAGGGGGGGGGATTCGGAGAGAGTCGGCTGCTCCGCTGCTCCAGCTGCTGCGCTGCTGCGATGACTTTATGCTTTATGCGGTGAGACTGAAGATGCGGAGGGTTTCCTGTTTTCCGCCGCGCGCATCCCGAATCGGTGTGCAAGGCTGCATGGGCCGCGCGCTTGTATCGGCTTGTATCAGACACCCCATCAACTGCACAATCTCTCTCTCGCTCTCGCTCGATCCTGCCTGTATCTCAACGTACATGACAAGTACCAAGGTTCTTGTGGCGTGAAGCAATCCAGAAAATTTGCCCGGCCGTCGAGAGAGTCGAGAGCTAGAAGGCAGATTTTGAGGTTGTTCTCTCGCCAGGAGTATAGCGCGGGACCGTGGGCCGTTCACGTCAACATGTCCACGGAAGCGGAAGTCATGTTTGCGGCAAATCGAAGGGGGCAGCTGCCGCATGTCTTGGCTGCTGATCTTCAACAGGAAGGACAAAGGGAGATTCGGTAAGAGCGGGGGTTGGAGATCCAACAGGACGCTACGACGGTGTATCTCTGCCTGAACCTTCGGAATGCATTCTAGACTAATAGCCACACCTGTGCTGACAATTTCAGACCTACCTGTGTTTGCGTGGGCATGTACTGCGGTAGTCTCCAGTGCTCACGTTTTTGGGGTTCAACCATCTCGTCGCAATCCATAGCCGGTGGTGTTAGCAGGTTCACAACTTCTAACGCGATGACGACCATGTGGGGGTTTAACGCAGCGCAGCATCACGATCTGGCACCTGGAATCTCAATATCAACCAAGAGAGCTAAGCTGGGCATGTCGGGTCGTTGTTCAACCGTAACAGCCCGCAAAAAAAAAACGGCGGTGGGCTGTGACGATTTACTTTCGTACGCAGCTCAAGTTTGCAAGTCTTTGCGCTCTCGACAGATGCTTTTGTTGGAAAAAGGAAACACTGCTTTTTCAATCTGTATGTTATGTTGGGAAGTTGTAGACGGAAGATTTAGGGGAACTCTGTTTTGTTACACAGTACGAAGGGAAGGACCAACGGTTTTTGATTGTCAAGCTGCCCGAGTGCCAAAATACAGCACTGCCAAGCTAGCGTGGGTCGGGGGTGCTCTTGGCAGAGACGAGTTCGCCTTGTCCGCTGCTCGTTCATTACATATTGAGCGTGTGCATCTTGGCATGCCAGCATATTAAAAAAAGGCACTCTGATTTTTGCTTGCTGCTTGTGTTCGGCAGAACTTTGGCTGGACCACCACGGCAGGCCACCTGCCCAGCACCAGCTATCATGTACCAGTATTGGCACAGGCCTGTGTTTTCTTCCTGTGAAGATCTACTGTTAGAGTTTGAAATACGTGCCAAAACTGCTGTTCGTCGTAATACAACTTTGCACCCAGTCTTTTCAGCGAGCGCTGAGTCTACTATGATGACGCAATTGCCGTTTATGCAGCTGAAGGTTGTTTTCAGCGTACACTGCCGTTTGAAGCAGCTGTTTTTGTTTTCTGTTTTCTGGCAACTATGGGACTGTCTCTCGGCGTTACTTCGTCGTAACGCGTTTCTTTCGCGCTGACTCTAGTATTAGTTTTCAATGAGGACTATCAACACATTCAAACATTCGGCGCCACACGATAACATACAGTTGGCGCCCGCAGTTAAGAAATTGAGGCTCACTTTTTCACGAAACATAAGAAAATAGGGTTAAGAAACAGAGCTCAACCTGGGTCACACAATCAGAAATGTCTCAATAAGAAATACAGCGGCGACTGCTGCGCTACTACATTAGAAACGAGGGTTTACGGGGGAGTGTGTCGAATAAGAAACAAACCCCACAGCTCTCTCGCTCTTTCCCCCTCTCCCCCGACCCCCCCTTCCCATAGTGAAGCGTGGGGTTCTCGTGAAACTCGGGTTGGGTTGGTTCGGAGGGGTAATTAGTCGTAGTTCTCACCCCGCTTCGTGGCAGGAGTACGACTACCGCGTAATCCTGCACTACTGTGACGACAGCACGCGTAAATTTAGCATGAAGATGCCGTTGGAGTCGTACAGCACGGATGAAGACGTCGCAATTGGGGCGTGGGTTCTCCTAGAGGTAGACCCAAAGGAAGGGAGCAGGAGGCGCAAAAGGGTGGCTACCCCCAATGTTCGCCTCACGGAGCTTGCAACATAATGACGGGGTAGTTTTCGTTGTTGGCACGTCAGCGTGCGGGTGAGGCAACATGCGGTGTTTATGCATTTGTTTAGTTTCAGCCCTCACTCATGAGGGGGGTACAGGACCTTGTAGCGATAGCGAGACGTTGCCGCTGGATACATTTCGCTTCTAGGGNCGCAAGAGGCGCAAAAGGGTGGCTACCCCCAATGTTCGCCTCACGGAGCTTGCAACATAATGACGGGGTAGTTTTCGTTGTTGGCACGTCAGCGTGCGGGTGAGGCAACATGCGGTGTTTATGCATTTGTTTAGTTTCAGCCCTCACTCATGAGGGGGGTACAGGACCTTGTAGCGATAGCGAGACGTTGCCGCTGGATACATTTCGCTTCTAGGGAGTGGCCTTACGTGCAGCCGTCGGTAGTGAGAATCGGGGTTGAG